TCTCGCTTGTTTGGGAATTCATCGGGCGAATTATAATTGTCCGAAATTCAACTGTTGCCGTGACAAAAGTAGCGTTTGATACTTTCGGGTGAAAATATCGATGTCGCTTAATAAAGATTAATCGGAGCGAATTTCACGGCGAATAAATTCCCGGTCACAGAGCTTTCGCACGAGAGCGTGCATCGCGACAAATTGCGATGTAAATTTATCCCGGCCGGCCCCGGGACGTGGCGGTTTCAATTTCCGCCCTAAAAATGCCATCCTCAAATATAACACACTTCTTATGTCGACTGATATATCTCACAGTCATGTGCAACAGGCCGTTTTTCGATGTTATCTCGGTATGGTGGTTGCAGTGTAAAGGAACTCTAGAGGTAAGCCCTGAAATTCTGCAGAATGGCTAAATCGCATGTTGCATACGTAACGCAAGACACATCGTCTTCTGCAAGTTTGTAGCGCATTTTCTCGAAAAATGTAGATGTAGCAGTCGCGCGAAGGAGAAACGAGAACAATTGCGTCGCGTGGTAACGCGCGTTGTAACGAACATATTCCCGGAATCAAATTAACACAGCGACAATTTACCAGTATGGAAATCATAATTCGAAATCAACGCCTCTCGCACAAGATTAATTGTTTGCGATTGTCAAATGAAATGAATTCGCGTCGCGCGCAGCGACGCGTCGCGGAAAATATGTTGTCCCTTACTTTCGCGAACTCACGCGCTCGGCTTTGCATCCGTGAATAATTTCGCGTAATCGTGTCGGTTTTCTGGCAGATGTCGATTACAAATTCGTCAAGGAGCACACTTTCGCGACATAGGTCGCGAAGTTTGTTCCAAAGTTGACAGAACGCCCGGTATATATCGGTATAAACAGCTGTACAGCAGCTGATACGTTCCCTGATATTTCAGCCATTCACGCGTGACGACTCCCGTGAATGCTGATGCTCAAAAGTTAGGTGAAGGCGCGCAGGGATCGCCGGGGGGAGGCGGAGCTTTTCCAGCGGCAGGGGGTGAAGCTGGATAAACGCCGTACACAAAACGTACGAGACGTCCTTAACTGGAAACTGCCTCCGACACCCTGAGGCATAAGACGTGCCCGCTTACAATTCAAGGCATACACCCGCCGGCACGGACAGTGAGAGGATGCTGGTCCACGGTAGATTCTCACGCGGTAAACGAATTAGGGGTTGATTTCTCGGGTAGGTAGCCACCTATCCACTCTTCTCGAGCATGGCGCAACGACCACGCTCTAGCATGCCGTATCGTCCTTCCTGCCCAGTTATCTATCGTCCTCTCGCCACGAATCGAGGTAAAGGGTTAGGTATACCGTAGCTGTGAGCCCGGCGTGAGTGCCGCGGCACGAGAGATAAAACCAATCACATGGCACTATACACACAGAAATTTATTGCCGCAGATTATCTGGCGGCAGTCCAAACACAAACACATTTCTTCCTTCGGCCACTCGTGAGACGGGCTCGTGTACGAGGGATAACGGGTGGGCGAGGGCGAAGAAGGGAATTGTCGGGGGAAGGGAGGAGGGAAGAGAAAGAGACTTGGTAAAAGAAAGAACGAGATAGGGACGCAACTCGAGAGAATGAAGAGGAGATACAGTGAGCGAGAGAGCGGAAAGCTCCGACGATAGGTGCGGGTCGTCGAGCTTTCCGCTCGTTCCTACCATCTCACAGTCTTCTCCCGTCCCACGCATTGGGGGTTCCCCGCGTTTGAATCTCGCGGAAGCAGGGGATTTCCCCAGAAAAGACGTGCATCGCTTTTTATTGTCGGATAGACCATTTGAACAACAGCCAACATGGCAATCCGAGCCCTACTATGCGTAACGTTGTCCTGTCCGCGTCTCCTTCTTCCTGGAGACCCGTTTCCCTCTTTTCCCACCAGAGTTACACACTGTATTACAGCGCCTGCGTCTTTGGCGAATCGAGGAGACTTGTCTTGCTGCTCGCGAATACACGATTTATACGTTTACTGGATAAAATAGACTGCTACGTATTGCGGGCTAAAATAATACGAGAGCTCGCTGCTGGCTGACGGATGTACGGGGTAATCCCATAAGTAATGCATGTTTCGCCGCTAAAATGCGTTTAGGTTTTATGTTTAATCCAAATTTATTAAACGCGTATCGTAAATTATTGCATATCCCAACATACCTTCCGTGTTGATCTTTATTGAGAATACGTTAGGAATTTCGATTTCGTTAAGCCACGCGATTTACGAGTCGTGGAAGAAACGATTATGCTCGATTCGCAGCTGCTTTCGCACCAAGTCCAGCTGACTTCTCTAATGGCGAAAAGCTTCCGTCGTTATCCGGGAAAATATCTTAGTGGAAAATAACTTGATAGCAGCGTAAAAAAAAGAGAGAGAGGCGGGGAGGGAAGGAGAGAGGTGTACAGAAAATACAATATTTAGAGAAACAGGCAGAGATAACTTTTTTACGTTTCTGTTATTTTAAATCGGCGCAGTACAGCTCTGGTGGAAATGGTATTGAAATATTTGTAAACAAATGGCGAACACGATGTAAATCGTATTTTCTTCAATGGATTTTCTAAATGGTTGTAAGAGTCGAGTAGCATTTATTGACTGATTCAATAAACGCCGCATCGCGTACAAACGCGTAAACGGTTTTATAATATACTAAAGAGGATTGCTCGTTCGCGAAACGAAAAGCCCAGAGACGCGAGAGTAAGAGGCAACACGTATGCGCATTTGCCAAGAATACTCCCGCGCGATACCCAAGAGCTGATATCTCTCCTTCTGTGTATCCCGGCCAATAATCTATCTTCGAAAGTAACTTAACGGGAAATCGACGTCGAACGCGGAGTACGCTGAACAGAAGCTGCCTACGCAATGGATCGGAGTATCTCCAACGGCAGGAACAACATTTTCCGCGGGGATGGGGCGAAGTGAAGAAGTTTTCCTATCGTTCGCGGTCCGATATTTGCATAGCGAGATCAATACCAAGTACAGCTATATCGAGGGCACTGGAGAAATATCTGGTCGTTGCTGTGCATATCTCGTGCGCGCGCGTGCAAAACCGGACTATCGAAACCGGTCGACGGCTTTAATTTTTCATATTCGCGAATTGAGTGCTTTTATCGCGCGACAATGGTGGCAGCGAGATCGCGACGTAATCATCAAACGCCGATATATCTGATATCAATCGTATATTCTTTCTTTTTTCTGATTTTTCTTTACAAGTAATCGGTTACAGCGGTGAGTTATGGCGCTCGAACGCAATTGCTCTTTGCGGAGCAATTTAAAGAAAAAGTAATGTATCTCGTATGAATTCTGCCGCTGATAAGGAATTAAATATTTATCCACTCCGGTCGCGCGTATTAAATTCCAAGATTAAATCCACGCGACGGGAACTTAAATGGATCACGAGTATCCGCCGAGTTTAAATATTACACCGTACGTATATCTCTCTTTCTCTCTCGCTCGCTCGCTCGCTCGCTCTCACGAAGAGGTACTCTTAAAAGTAGACTCTCCGGCAGCATCGTACGGAAAATACGGCTGACTAGACTTTGCTCGGCGTTCCCGAATGTCATTCAGTGCAGATTTGAGGAAATGGCGGCTTTTGTCTTCTTCTCTAGGTGGCCCATTCGTAGTCGTAGAAGTGGACGATGAAGCAATCGTTTCAAATCGGTCGTTAGTAGGAAAGTCGTTCGGGGGATCTTTCTGCCCGAGAGAGAAGAGAAGGATATCTTGGAAAAGTTTCTATCTATAATCGCGCCGTACGGTCTTTAATCTGAAATCGCGTGAAATCCGAGTCCTTTTATTTCTTTGGCCCGTTCTTTCAATCCAAAAATTACGGATTTCGGCAGAAGAGCGCTAAGAGTAGAACGTGATCGTGGAACGTGATCGTGGCCATCGTGTCGAGCAAAACATGGCGAGCCCAAGGTAGGGGTTTATTCACGAAGAAGACATTACATATTAATTCGAAAACGTGTATCGCGTATACATAAATGAAAGTATATCGAATTACTAATTCCTTGGTTCTCTGGCCGCAACACGTGGCTTAAGTAAGTAATTATTAGTAAAGTACCGTCGGGCTACAGAGCACACGTTGCACCATAAAACGGCGCAACAATTACACGGCAATAATTAGTCGAGCGTGTACACGCATTAACACAAGTTTCTACATTCGTTGAAGTTTCTTGTGCGTGGCGCGCGTGTCGTAAACGTACTTAATAACGCAGCAGTGTTAATTAACAAGCAACAATTTGTCTTTCCGCTAATGTTTCCGAATATCTAATAATAAACCGCTAAACACCGGCCCATAATATACCTTTGTTTGCCGTTACTAAACAGTTCGCTCATTTTAGTTGATTCAGTATCCCGTTGCTCCTCGCAAATCAAGCTTATTCAGCACTGGACCGGCCTTTAATTTGCGCAACAATGCTTTTCGCGGCGCTATACGCTCGGTGCGCGCGGCCACAACCCGCGTTAAACGTTCCGGCCGATAGGGTTCCATTAAATATTATCGTGACATTAGAATCGCCAGTAAACTTGGGGCGTACACGCATACATACCCGGCGCTCCGAAATGCAGGAGCGGAAAAGTTCGGTCGGGATGTCAAACAGTTTCTACCCACAAATACCGGCAGACCGTGAAACTTGGGGAACGATGCGCCCAGCAGCGCGCAGCCGAATACAATACTTCTTGGTATTCCCGTCACAATGGCGCGGTCTCGCATGCTTTATTAAGGAGTTTCACCCGAGGCCTCGAAAGGTTAACGTGGATTACAAGCGGCCGCGGGGCTTCTTTCTAATACTCCTAATTCCCTATACGCGCGCGCACTCGTGTGCAACTTACCCGGCACTCTCCGCTACTACTTCGCGCTCCCTTTCGGAGCCCGTTGGTGGCTCCGAGGATACCGAATCGATCAGGGGGTACTACCCTACTCGCAGCGCCGGAACAGACCGTGTAAATTTCCACCTCCGCATCGTCGACGTTTCTCATTAATCGCTGATCGATCTCCTTGCAGGGTGATTAACGTCTCGTACGGCGATAGGTGAAAGAGTAACGGGGCGGCTAAGGGGGATCCCGGCCGGAAGGAGCGAACAATCGAATGAAGGAAGGAAGGAAGGAAGGAAGAGAGAGAGGGAGAGACAACGGGTCAACTGGCCGGACGGTCTGACGAATTGCCAGAGTGCGAAGGGCGGTTGTGCGCACGGGGTGACTAACGAAATGCGAGGTGAAAGCGCTCGCGGACTCTCGCTGCCGCGGAGATAAACAGCTAGTAGCGCGGTTACAGGCTGTAAGCGAGATTGTAGCGGCGGCTGTTAATTCGTCGAACATCGCGGTAACAGCTATCCGTCTTCCCTACGTCACGTAAGTATGCGCCGGCACTCTACTCGTTGAGGTATTGGGGCGTAAGGAGACACGAGGCATAATTTCCTCCCGTCCCACTCCCATCACTGCGGAGCACATAATGAATACGCGCGCCACGGTTGCATAGCTATGTCACGTGTCGCACGACGGGCGAAACTTTGAACGCTTGTCATCGTGAAGCGGCATTCGCGTGCGAGCGCGCGCGAGCGTGCGAGCGCTTGTCAACGTGGTCATACGTTGTTACGTGACGTTTGAGCAACGATGACGATAAGAATGGCTTGGAGTATATCCGATGGCCAAGGAACGAAACTTTGCTACGTGACAATCCTCCTTTTTGTTTTTTCTTAATCAAAGAAGAAGTCTCGTAATCCGACATTATCATTCAGAATACGAGATTCGATAATCTATTTCCTGTTTCTTCTCAAAAGTTACATTAGAATATTCTAATTTGCTCTCTTTGCTAAAGGCGGCCTGTGGCGCATGTAATCTCTCCATATTTCTCGAAAATTTGCATATAAATAATTTCTTATATATAGTATAAGAAAATTCCTCGTGCGAGCGTTGAAAGAGAGAAAGAGAAAGAAGAGAGACGAAGGGAGGTAGAGACAAAGTGGCGAAAAAGGAAAATCATAACTACGTTTTATCTCTTTTTGATACGAGTTCGACGAGCATCCAATAAAACGGTAATCGTTATACTCCGTTGCATCGTATTCCACAGCAAAAGATCCGCTCTCGCGAAGATAGATTTTCCCTCGGAGAAAGCTCGAGTAATAGCTTAAATTTCGCGCCGCGATCTCGCTGTTACTTATCGAGAAGCACGTCGTTTCCGTTTACCCGTTCGTTCGTCGAGAATAGGGTTTCCCTTATTACATTGCTATGCAAACACTCACGACGTCACGCACCTCCAGCAGTCACACACAGTACGCGCGTAACGACAAATTCTTCCTTCGCGAGGAACATCCACCCGTGGTATGTCTGAATTGAACTGGCGCGCGGTTGACGTGGCTTCCATAATATTCAAGATTAAATGTGACGCGGATGATGGAACTGTCCAAATTTCATCATCATAAGATTAGATTAAAAAAAAGGTAAAACTCCAATGATAAGTTAATAACTGTCCGCGCGAGGAGTCGACAAGCTCCGTAAACTTCGGACAATGACCCGTACGAAACTGAAAACTGAGGAGTGAACACTATCAACATCAATATTTTATATCACACTGCAGCAGATATTGCTCCGAGACACGCTGTGCCTATATTAAACTATAAGTTTGATTAAAAGTCAGAAACGCGTGTTGGTCCTTTAATATGCGTCCAAATGGGGACACGAAAATGTAACAGGCACAAATATATGTAAAATTCAGCGATTAGAAAATGTTAATACGCGATTAACTTTTAATGAAAATAGTACAACTTTTAATGCTTACAGTCTGGGCAGTTTTTTCAGTGACTCTTTTATAGTTTTTGAACTGTTTCATGTACGTCAAAGAAATGGGTTAGTAAAAATTATGATACTATAACGGCTTCCGGAATTGTACGGTAATTATTTTTTCAAATTGATCTTTTTTCTTATTTAATCATACACTTTTGTATCAAAACTTTTTTGTATCAAGAATAATGAAAGGACTTAAGTTTATTTATTTTTGACAAAATCATACAAAAATGTATGTAATAATAAAAAAGAATTTTCATATATACACACAAAATATAAGACTAAATGTTTATTATTGTCTACATAAATCTTAAAGAATACTACACAAATCTTAAAGAAATATAAGACTAAATGTTTATTATTGTCTACATAAATCTTAAAGAATATTATTGGAAAAAAATGTAAAATTTATGTGACATAAATAAATATTTGTGTATTTTAAAAATTTAAATTTGTATATAGTTTCAAAATCTTTTACTGGTTTGTATGGTATAAGTGAATAATAATAATAATAATAGGAATAGTAATTGTATTTCACAAAATTGCCACGGCACTATAGTTGTTTCTCGAATTGTAAAGGTTGAGAAAAATAATCACTAGAATTTTGAGACAACGTTTAAATTAAGAATATTCTAATTTCGGAGCAACTTAATTCGTATTGTAATGAGAAAATTTCCTAGACACACACACACGCGCGCGCGCGCGTGCGGTTCGATAGATAGAAAAATTTGTCTCTAAACAATTTAGCTTTTTACGCGAATGGAGTAAGTTGCGAAAACAAGAGATCCGCTATAGAATAGCTTTCTACAGAATCGTAGACTCGACCGCGCCGATTTTGTGCTCCCCGAGTGAATACTGCATTGCCAATTGTATAAAATGTACGGGGGGAAACAGCACGTGCGTCGTAATGACGTGATATTGCCGACAGGCCGGGCGATAGCGACCGCTCGTTAACGTTAAAGTCTTACGTTTCGTTTCCGCCGGCTACGCCCGAAATTCGTATTACGAGAAAAGCTCGATTCACCGCGTACAATGTTTGTGCGTTCCCTTTCGTGCTGAGAACAATGGCATGGTGAGGAGCAACCGACCAAAGAGCTTCCGTTTCCGGTGTTACCAAAGATTCGCCCTTCTGCAACGCGCCCGTGCATATGTGTGCGTTGATGCGTCCCTGAATTATTATGGGCGAGCTTGCAATGCGCGGAAAGAAGATCGTACGCTCTGTTGAGATGAGTGAAAAGATGAGAATGGATATTATTACGTGAAACAGAAATTCCAGCTGGCGTTGTGGAAGCGTCATTATCGAGTTAATCGTGATTTAATTACACGGTGAGTGAGAATAGCGCACGAGTTTGCATCGTAAAAACAATTTGCATCTAAAAGGAGAGATATCCTGTAAAGTATTTCCATCAGGGCATATGTCATGTTTACGTAAGTCAATGTAAGGATGATACAATTAGCTCAAATCATCAACTCAATAATATCGTATTTACTCAGCTCATCGTATCATTAAATCGAACGAGCGATTTGTGGTGCAAAACATTTCCCTTGCGTTTAAGAGCTTTGCAGGCTGTTACATCTCTCGTAGTGAATGAAGCTCTCTCTTTTTCTCTCTCTCTTTTCCTAAGAGAATATTGAGAAGTATTATTAGACCACCGAGAGTGGATTCGTCTCATCTACTACGTCTGTTCTTTTCAGCGCGCCGCGCCAAGGAAAAAGGGTCCCGGCTGTTTGCAGTCCTCTGCCTTTGAAAGTGGTACAAGTATCGGTGCATGGAAACGCACTAGAGACTGCAGAGACAGAATCGGTGTCGGTGGTTGCGGCCGTGTCGGCAATCTGAACGCGCGCAAAACAGCGCTTGCAGCTGACGTTTTACACTTTGCGGTAGCTGATGGTAGCCAGATAGGTTCCTCGACGCAATTGTGCCCCTCCCTGCGCGGTCGCGCAATCATCCCTGTCGCCACGGCCCGGCCAAGTTCGCGCCGCGCAACCCGTCCTGAGGACTGACCTCCGGAGTTTTCATGAAAATTCAGACTTATCGGGAAAACGGTAGCCGTTCCACCTTTCGACCTCCGCTTAAAAGTATTCCGCGATTGGAAACCTTTCTAGGACATCGATATGCCCGAGAGTTCGAGCGGCCTGACGTGGCCGTTCTCTTCTCCAACAGAAAGACGTTCCAATGTCGAGCATCGCCCAAAAACACGCTTCAACCTGTGACAAAGAGATGTTTATCGAGGAGGTAATTGTTCGTTTCTTTTTTCCTTTCTGTTCAACTCCACTCTTTCCACGTGCGATCACGTCGAGGTTTTGCGCATGGATGAAACACTCGTTTGATAAATTATTATTCTTTATAATAATGATAATAATTATTATTAAATTATAATTATTATTCTTTCGCAAGCCAGGACCGTTATGTGTCGGCGCACATCGAGCGATATAATTCGGGCAACGTGTCATAAACTGATTCACAAAATATTATATGAAAATGCGCTAATCAAAGTGTACGGAAACGTGTATATTAATTGGGATACGCGCAAGCTCTTCCGTCTGTTCGTAATTTCGTGAAACGGCCGCGTATGTACGAATTCGTGTGAACGGTATTGTTCATAGGGAAATTACTCGTGCCGCCTCGTATTCATTAATTAATAATGTTCTTCTACTTCAAAAACATGCGGCAATTAGCCGAACAACATCTGCCGCGTTTGAATCCTTAAAATCCTACATCTTTCCTCCTGTGCATTCAGAGATGCTGTTTCTACGTGACAGATGGGTTCGCTTACTATTTCATCGGTCTCGCTTGTTTCACGCTCTCGTCGTATCCTGTTTGCAACGCGTGAGAATGTACCAATATATAGGCCACAATAGCGCCGGGATTAGATAAACCATGTGGTTTTCATTAATTACCAACATTACACAATGTCGATTACTCGGTAATTTTAAAAATAATGCCAAAGGCAGGAATTGATGTTCCACTGTGCACGAGGAACAGGAACCGATTGGCGATTGGCCGAGCAACCGCGTGGAAATTAATTAGCGAGCCAATTTAACTTTAACGACCGTTCGATTCCATGGAGTTTCCGACGAGGTGTGTACATTGATAATAATTTTCCCGGATGCGCACCAGTACCTTACCAGAATGCAACCTGTCGGAAAAGTTATCAAAGTTAATTTTCTGATCGCCTGTTGATTTTCAGCGCGAAACAACGGTGCGCAGAAGATGCGTTGGAAAAATTTCGTGACGTTCGCATTTCTCGTTTAATCAGCCGAGAATTTCACTTAAGCGTGTAACGCTGCTCGTGCAATACAGATCCAAGTGTGTAGTAAATACACTTATGTGTATAAAATTACTCATTTATGTGTATAATTTTGTTTTCCATATAGAAATTACACATTGTTATACATAAAAAAAGACATTTACATATTTAATTGTGTAATGTAACACGTTCTCCTGTGTACAAAATGATACACATATAAAACATGTAAAAATAGAAAAACATGTATTTCTACACATTATTGAAATGCGTAAGAGAGAGCTACGCACATAAAACACCTTTACATATTTACGTCTTCTTATATTTAAGGTTAACGTGTAATTAAGAGGAAATAGTATTAGTGTATTAGTTAAGTTACATTCAAGTTAATATAACTGTGTTAAGTTACCTTTCTTCCTGACGGGTACTTTTCGAGATTGAACTTAGAATTTGAACTTAGAATTGAGTACAATTTCGTCTTAAAATTTTCTAATTTTATTTTAACGTTATATTGTGATTGTTAACAGTTTATGAATCTCGACAATTCTGTTTTCTATCCTCTTGCAAAGATGACTGCGACTACAAATGTGTACTCGATGGGGATTCTAGAATTGTTTATTCGTTTCTGTCAGCATCAGATACAAACTCCATAAGAGATATGTTTCAATACTGTCGCGAAGTTGCTTCTCCTCCAATAAGGATATTGCGTGAGAGTCAGACCAAACTACGTATAATAAAACTAACAACCGGCGTTTAATTGTTGCGATAATTGTATTCTGTAAAAGATTAAATTTATAATTTGCATTGGAAAGGATCCAATGAAGGATCGAAACGTTTGCGATTAATATATGGTCTTAAAATAAATTGTATACTTTCTCTCTCTCTCTTAAGACTTTTCGCACACGTCCTTCTGGTACTTAACCCTTTAGGACCCTGTGTTTCTTAAAAAATTTTAAATTATATGTCAAAGAGCCTTTTCATATTTTTATTTTTCTTTTTTTAGAACCTAATACACATTTCCTCTTACGTTAACCTTACGTGTAAGAAGGAGAAAATGTGTAAAGATGTTTTATGTGTGTATCTCTTACGTATTTCAATTATGTAAAAGTACACGTTTCCTTATTGTTACATGTTTCATACTGTATATTATTTTACAGGAAAACGTGTTACATTACACATTTTAATAAGTAAGTGTCTTCCTTTATGCACAACAATGTGTAGTTTTTGCACAAAAACGAAATTATACATATAAGTGAGTACTTTTACACACATAAGTGTGTACTTACTACACACTTTGATTTGCAGTGCGCGAGAGATTCGGAATAATTATTCCATTTTGTTCCGTCTGTAAATTTAATTTCGCGGTCGAAATAAATCTGCCGCTCGTGAAAGATTCGACTGCCCTTTTTTCACGGAGCAATTATATTCGCCGCGCCGCGTCGCGATTATTTGTGTATAATCGAAACTATTAGAGAAAAACGTCGCTGTATCAATAGTTATCGCTCATACGCATACTCAATGTGCTGAGCACAAGCGCGTCGACTCCTTCAAAGCAAACGCGGCCTTTCGCAACAGGATTTTATTTCCGTAAGAGGATCCGAAACTTTTAGCTACACTTTGAACGTATGCGTCGTGACGAAACGTTCAATCGGCGCTGAAATTTTTATGAAGCAACAAATCCGCTGTTGCACGCAACTTTAAAGTTTTAAAATCACCGTCGCAAATCGTCTTTAAATGACATTGTCTCAGGTACATTAGCGACTTTAAAGTCCGCCGAGTGATGGGGTTTTACCAAAATTTCATTGTGCTCCAATAATCGCGACAGTTTACCATATTCTTGCTGCACGAGAGAATCGCGGTTATCATTATATGCTGTTTGCAATGATTGTTTACTGAAACAAGGTCGATGTATAATGTATCGCGTTGCTTCCATATAATCGCCATTATATGATACGCATTACACTTTACAAGGCCGATGAAACTCGCAATGACATGATGAGCGAATATCACGACGATATTTCCTGACGTTCTGATAGTTACTTTATCGCGATCCACGCGCGCATATTGCAACTCAAAGTGCAAACATACGTTAACGATGTGCACAAACCAAGTGGCTAATTCAAGTTCACATTACGAGATCTCAAATCTCTCTCTCTCTCTCTCTCTCTCTCTCTCTCTCTCTCTCTCTCCTCTCTTCGCAATCAAGCATTTCTGTTCTCGAATTTAGCAGATCAAGAATAATTGTCAAGGACGAGGAAAAGGGGTATCGTTTAATGGAAAGAACAAACCGCACTTTCTATTTCTCTTACTGTCTGGCTGAGAGCTTCCCGAACAGTCGCATAAACCAGTGGACTAATTTAATATATGCCACCCTTGCGCGTCGCGTAAGCTCAGCCGTCCAAGAATGGACCGTCGTCCGTCAGGATTTTATTGGACATACGCGATGGAATGGATATGCATGGGGTGAGAAAAAAAGGGTTCTCTGTCTCTCTTTTTCTCTCACGTCCGGTTGAGGAATTCGTCCAGATACATACGCGTTAACTACGTCGCTAAGTTAAATTTTCCACGATGCTCAGAAGCGAGCACCGAACATCGCATAAGAGATCGTCCGCTCAGACACGCGTCTCTATTTGCATAACAGAGGCGCGTTGCATAATGGAAATTGCCTCCGCGTTGTATAACATTGCGTGCTCGCCCGCGCGCGCGCGCGCGCGCGTGCACTCTGCCCAGCGAGAAAGAGAAAGGAATTTCTCTCATTCGCGTGCTGGCGAATAATTAGCAGGCCTGCCCGTGACATGAAGTTTGAAGCTGTTGCTGACTGGATATGCACAGCTGCCTTACATTTTCTACATTCCTTGAGCAGATCGGGGTCGCTAAATAAGAAATTATTTCGCACGAATCCGCGCACAGACCTGTGAGTTCTCCTCCTTGCTTTCCTCACTGCCTCTCCTCCAGCCAGTAAGTTTTTCCTCAACAATATAACGCGAATAATTCATTAATCTCTGCCCGGACTCGTTATGTGGACGGTGTAACGATCGGTTTACCGTAATGTGATACGCGTGTCCGCGAGAATTCACGATATTACATCTTTACTTCGTATCACCGTTATCATTATCGCGCTAATAATCGTATTGCCCCTTTTTATCAATCGCGCGATGGTGATTATCCGCGTTGATTTTTATTTTCGGTATATCCTCGGAGTAATTACACGTTCGTATCGCTTCGCGTAGCCAGAAAGCGGAAGATTGATTGCAAGTGCAATGCGCCCGGTAATGAAAACGCATAAGCCCCAATCGACTACCGTGTTTTCAGGTCGTTAGTACAAGAGCATACCGGCTCTGAGCGTCGATCCATTATGTGTACGCACTGGGGAACAGCTACGATCGACAATGATACGGCATCTCGATAAGAAGATTAGAGACGTATCAGCTTCGGTTAACGGCAGGCTGCGCGATGCAGTCGTCGCTGCTCCGCGAGCGTTTAAATCAATAGCGTTTGGATGTAATTTAATTTTACAAGTGCTCCTCGCGCGCGCAGCCAGTTACCGTTTTATCTACGCGTGCGTACAGCGCTTTAATAGACGTCCTAATGGGAATTATGACGTAAAATATCACGTTGCCATTTGTATTTGCAATCGCCTTCGGACACGTAGTTATTGAGAAATAATTGCATATCACGTAATCACTCTGTGAGCGTAGACACTGCTCGGCATTAAATTCGCGATTTATTTCACGTCGAATTTCGCCCCTCATTTATCGCCGTGGCGACGCCCGAGATCGCCCATCGCGTAAATACTTCCTTGAAACAAACCAACTATATTTATAGCACGGTGCGACCGTCGTTTAAATAACGATGTATAGAAACGCGCGCGATGGTATCGCGTCTCGTGTGCTTAAACTAGTATTACTCCGCGAACTCTCTCGGTAACGGTTTCTGCAAAATTGCAAGTGCAATATACGTGCATACATGTGTTCGTAGCGAAGCAAGGCAAATGACGATGATCAAATGATCACGATGATCGGCAGGTATCTCAAATCGCTTAAATGGACGTACGTGAAATATATTAATATTGAATGAAGATACGAGATAATAGATATATGCAAGTTTTATGAACACTTAATGGAAAACTCGCTCCTCGGGCAATAAGTTACGAGAATCTTCGTGCAACACTATTATTCGCGAATTAATAATAAAAATCAATCCGCGTGCGCCACACTTAGAATAGACATCGTAGCGACACGATCATTTAATGTGCGATTTGCTATTCCGTGCATTGAACTGAGCATCGTTTTTTACGATTCGCGCTCGCCTGACAGTGTCCCCGTTCGTGACATGTTGCTACACTGGCAGAGCCAGTCGTCCACCAAGTGTTGCAGACTCTCCGTAGAAAGAACTCTCCCAGGAGAAATCGAAGATAATATTGTGCGAATCGCAGACGGGTCGCCGACCGTCTCGAACCTTAATTTGTACTTCTCAAGACGGTTATCGGATAACGAGGCGGAATCATAGATGGTGATGGTGACGTCCGAATCGCGAATCCGAATGCATTGACGTATCGGACGGGAAAAGCTCCGACATGATGAAGAACGATGTTCCCTCACTTTCCACGCGATCCGCGTCGAACCACGAACGCGCCGTTCGTGTGATCGTAACGCGTGTTGTAGTGATTACACTGCAAGTTTGACGTACGCAGCGTTTTAATAACTCCACTTTGCCATTGTCACGTCCGATGACGTTGAAACTCCCCCGACATATCCGACATATAGGGGGACGGAGGTGTTTCTACAACGCATTCACTGATGATCGTTTTCCTTCCCTTATCTTATCGCGAGGACACTCCGAATGTATGCTATTCACCCCGTCGCTATATCGGAGCGGACTATTATCGAAATGAAGGTTCTCGCGCGGTGTTCTATTCTGAAGTAATTGGTGTTATGTTCCGTAAGGTAACGCGATAATATGACATCACTGTTATATTTATGTTAAGGATCAATCAATAATTCTTCAGTTTCTACAACAGCCGTAAACGACGGGGAAAATTTTAGAAATAACCGGTGAATTCATCGCCAAACACGTTTCGAAATATTTTGCTGACGTTTGACACCCACGACTACTTTAACTACGTAACTTAAAGAAAAAAAAAAAAAAAAGAAGTTGGGAATTATAGTGTCGTGTGTAACCCAAACAACACGGCTACGGTGGAAATAATGTAAACCAACATATGGCTCGTGCATTTTAAATCCGCCACTTCGTACCGTCCGGTGCCTCTATATACAATGTATATATATGTATGTGTATATATATATATATATATATATATATATATATATATATATACACACACACATACACACACACACACATGCACACAATATTGATCCATGTTATTCACGATTTACTTGTTCTTTCCGCGTTCGCGTTGCTCCTGTTTCCATCTTTAAAAATGTAAAGCACGGCGATAGTCATGCCCGCCCTATCTTTCATTCGATAAATCGTCGGTTTAGCGGCCACCTATTCGCTATTCCCGGCGTCCTTTTTGTATCGCGCTATAGCGCGATCGCTATTATTCCCGCTCGTTTGCGCTAACAATACCAATTAGCACTTCCATAAATTCGTGGCTTTTTCCGTTTCCTCGCGGATAATACTTCTGTGTCACGCCACCATGTGCACTCCACAAATTCTCATTTAACCGCGGGTTTCATCGTTATTTAAGTCTTCGCCTCTATACGCCGTAGAATTTACTAAAGCACCGCGCTTTTTCGTTAACTCCGTTCGCATGACAGTTAATGAGAGTTACTTTTTAATTCGTCTTCGCGCCGTGTTTTCGTACGCTCGCGTGTCTTTCGCGTTCACATGTTAGATTTATATTTTTACGTGTTTTATACGCACACAGCTGCGAGAATATCTGTTTGACGGAGGGTCGCATCGTCGACTCGCGTCCCGATATTTGTAAGTATAAGTCATGTATAAAGTCATGGATTAATTCGTCTTCGTCTACCTTAATTACGTAACCGCGAAACATCGGTGTAATACGTATCTCAAGAGGACAGGAGGATTCTGCTCTCGCGCGAATTCTGTCGTACGCGCGTACGGTCGATACGTAAAGTTTAATCACGTTGTCCAAGAAAGAACAGCGATACCTGCGAGGAAAGTTACATACGCACCGCACTGCCGACACTCCAATATCTCTTGCAATATTACGAAAGTAGAACAACGCAATAAAAAGCATTAAAAAATACTGAACGACGGCATGTGACTTTATGAAGAAAGTTTCGTAAAATGGCATGTCGAGTTAAGTCAGATTTATGATATAACCATAATGGACGGTGTACGAAGAGCTCGTATTCGGATGTCGCGATTCTCTCTTACGCACATTCGCCGAGTGGATTCGTATATTTTTGCTGCGCGTTGTGTAAACTTTCATACTTCACTTTTCGCAAATGTGTCACTGCAATACGCCCACTTGCAGTATTTCTCGGTTGGGATATCCAGCTATCGCGGCGATAATAATTCTCCGGCAAAAAAATCTAACATAATTGCGCGCGCGACACATTCGACGCGACGAACGCGATTTGTCGTTCGCTCGAGAAACACGCCACGAGAAAGCGCACCTTGTTATCCGCCGACGAGTCGCTGTCGCGAGCTTGAATTCTCACTTACCTTCGGCTGAGTGCGCGAACGCCACGAAGATCCATGCAGTCCACGGGACGAGGATGGCGGTGATTATTGTCATACTTATTATTTCCGAGGGTTTCGCCGTTTAATTTCCGTCACGTACACGCACTTGGTACAAAACCACGCGAGCCGGAGTCCAGATGCAGACTGACTTGTCGTGCGGAGTCCTGCAGGAGCAACACGACACGCATGCGTCCTAGCTTCCACGTGCCTGTCTCTTTCGTGTCTTTACTAGTCACAGGGACAATTGTGATTTCCCGGACAACTCATTCTCTCCTACTGCACAGTCGGAAACCGGATATGCCGTCGAATGCATCGCGCGATATCGCGTATCGCACACTAAGTCGCGAAGGACCTAAGAAAGAATTCAACTGAATTTTCAACCTTCTTTCTCCGGTCGCCGTTCTTTCTTTTCTCGCGTCTGAAACAGATATATATATTCGTTGCGAAAATATTTTTATTTAATAATCAAAATCGAAACATATTTAATGAGCCATTAAAGCTATTAGCTTATTAGCGCGCTTGACTCGATTGCACGATCTTAAAATCGCATTTAAACTTTGTTTATGCCGCCTATTAAATTTTTGTCTGACAAGTAAAACGTGACACGTGAGATAAAATGACAGATGTAAAAATTGCGCGAGCTCTGTACATCTCAGAATGGCGAAGGATGCAGTTTATCGGGTTCCGTTGTGTCACGTACCGGCGTATAATATTGTTAGGCGAAATCACCGTTGGATGGAACAAAAAGTCAAATTTCCGCACGATCCTTTCGGAATCCCGTTGCACTCGCTCCACTCTTGCTGAGAAAGAGTGTATCAGGAACCGCTCATTGTTCCCGAAATTAATGCCGGAAACCGCAACTCCGCCTTTACAAACGGCACCGCGGCGCGCACACGCTTTGATAACGCGAGATGCGCGGAAATAGGGAAACGGAATGGAAATAATTCGCCAGGCTGTTGAGGCAGCCGGGATTAGTGTAAGCTGTTAGGTACGTTCTCGCGTCTCGAGCGTGCGTGTGGCAGCGTTTCTTCTCTGAGAGAACGTCGGGAATAAGGGAAGCGAAAGAGGGGGAAAGCGAGGGAATGAGAGACAGAAAGCGGGCTGGTGAAGAGGAAGAAAAGGAGGGCGCGAGCGAGGTGAAAGGGAGATCGGAGGAGGATGCGAGAACGACGCCGGAAGTGAGCAAACATATTCCACCGAACGAGCATCGTTAGCGCGAGATTCAGTCTTCGACTTTTCGCGTTTGATATGAATTTTTCTCCTTTGCCGACGGGCATTAGCGCGCGTTTTTCGTTTAGCGGATTCCCGGCTGAAAGTCGCGCACGACGGAAACCAACGAGGTGGAGCCCGCGTTCGTAAAGGGGAAGTCAAACGAGAAAACTTCGCGGATTAAGCGCAATCAAGTACCGATAATTCCCTGGTGAATCGTGTCTCCTCTCTCTCTCTCTCTCTCTCTCTCTCTCTCTCTCTCTCTCTCTCTCTCTCTCTCCCTCTCTCCCTCCCTCCCTCCGTATTTCCATCCTTCTCTAGCTGTTCGTTCGGTCGGTCGGTCGGACTGGGCGCAGGACGAAAGTGGAAACGAATGGGTTAGAGAGACCCCTCGCGTGTCCCAGCTCGAAGGAAAACCGAATTGTTCGAATTGGATGCCGCCGTGTTCGCGGCAAACGCTATCTCTTACCCGGCATCGACACCCGCGAAAGCACCCGCGGGCGTTATCTACCGTATTAATCGAGAAGTTTCTCGCGCGCGAGAGAGTCCTTTAACTATATAACATTAATTTTAATATCAATTCGACGACTCGTGGCTCATTCTCTCGATGGCGTTCGCGGCTCTCCAGTGTGCTCGCCGATGCGAATTAATGCGTCGCGACGTATCACGGTATAAGTTAGGAAATGAGCTACAAATTGTGTCGTTTGACGGTAATCGAGATTCTTTCTCCCTTCTCTCCCCCTCCCTCTCTCTCTCTCTCTCTCTCTCTCTCTCATGAGTATTCTCGATCGAAAAAACTCCGCGCGTTTCACTTGAAGTGCCAAACAATCAATGTGAATTCAGAAAGCGCAAATGTGTTGCTGTTTCATCCCCCTGAATCCAATTATTAATACGAAAAGAGCAACATTGAGTTAAATTTTCGACAGTGGAAAAACAATTTCGGTCTCGATAGGAGCGGCCTCGTATCTTGTTCGTCAAGTTCATTAGTTACCGAACTTGCTGAACACTCGACGCAATTATGCAACTTACATCTCGAGTCGGGAGTTGTCTCGGGAGTTCTTGTAAAAGTGCAAATACGCGTTACCCGTTGAAACTCGTGGATGCCGTTGAAGTATGTTAATTATATAACGGAAAGTTCGAAAAGGACATCGGATGTACGACTAAGTGCTCCATACGCGCCACGTAACGCGAACGAACACACCGGATATTACGGTAACGTCGAGCGTAACACGTCGCACAACCACCATCAATCGTCATTATTCCCTTACAGATATGGCATTTATGGTTGAAAATCCTGAAAAGTAACGTCCGTCATTCCAGATGTATATATATATATGTGCGCCCAACCTCGTTGTGCAACTCGCACTCCCGGCACGTCGGCAAAATCGATCGCAATGTAAAACTCGGTCTTATCAAATAAACATTATAACTTATAAATTATAATATAGCGCGCGTTTCGCCATGCAATTAGTTTTCAACGCTGTGATTATGCAATCTGCATGTGTACGCGACGTACCTTGAAGAATATATCTGCGTCGATAGCTAGTTAATTAAATCGAGCTATACCGTCACGCATACAAATGGGATCTCGCTACGCCGTGCAACCGATCCGGCGCAACGTATCTAGCGCATTGCGGCTTTCATATTATTAATTTAACGTCAACGCGAAATAAACACATTTCATTGGCAACGATTACTTCGCAATAACTGACTTTTTAATGTTTATTTTAGATGATAGAAGTCTATGCAATATTGACGTTATTTCAAATAATAGGCGTTGTAATGAGAATCCGATGAAAAACACACATACTCCGTGAAATATTATTCGTGTGTATTCAGCAGTTTTAATAATTCATTATACAATATAAATTTCATATATTATAACTTCTTAATTATTTCTTCAAAAATCAAGTACCTGGATGAATCAATAATCATGAAAACTACATAATTAAATTTGTCTGATCATATATCTTTTACTAAGCATAACCTCGTATGACGTCACGTATATATCGTGTCGTATTATCTGTTTTTCTAATTATTATTGAATTTTTAATTCCCAATTAATAAACCCGACAATCGCCTGATTCAATTGCTACTTGAACGAGTTGATAGCAAGTGTGAGAGACGTCAATTTGACACATCGCGACAAGCGTCGCATATAGGCATATATATATATATATATATATATATATATATATATATATATATATATATATATATATATTTAAATGCAAAGAAATTATGCCGTAACAAGGTTCTTACGATATATCTCGACGATCACACATCGCTATTTTCCACACTGTCGACATTTGTTTCCATGTGAGACTTTCGACAGACAAAAGACATATAAAACGCGGAGCGATGTCAAGCGATGTCAAGCGATGTGTTAATGACAGTCGCTCGGCGCAGAAATATCGAGAATGGACGCGCAATGCATGACGGACTTCATAAATGCGCGTTTAAATGTGAACGATGTCGCGATCTGACAAGAACGGACTATATAGGATACAATACTCTCTTTTTCTCTCTTGTTAATAACCGGCGGTACTGTCCGAGATTCGGCGTCGCGTATACTCCTGGCGTCGTCTTTTTCTTTTTCTTGATTATCACCGTATTTCCAATACCCGATATAATAAATCTGACGACCGTCTGATTCTATCACTACTTGTGTGAGTCGAAAATAATAAGAGTGATAGACGTCGACTCGTCACGACACGTCGCAATAAACGCCGCTTGCATGTGCCGAAGTGCGAAGAGATTACATCGTAACAAGGTACTTACGATACGTCCCGACGATCACACATCACCATTTTCTATACTCCCGACACTTATTTTCGCGCAAGACTCACTTTCGACGAACAAAAGACACGTAAAATGTGGAACGATGTCGATCGATGTGTTAATGGCGGTTGCTCGACGTAGAAAGATCGAGAGTGGCCGCACAATGTATGACGCAGTTCATAAATGCGCGTTCAAATATGAGCAATGTCGCGGTTCTACAAGAATGCACTCTTTATCTTTCTCGTTAACAGCCGATGCTACCGCCCGAGATTCGACGTCGTATACATCTCTGGCATTGTCTTTTTTTCTTTCCCTCTGATTATCATCGCATTTCTAATTCTCGATTAATAAATCCGATCCCATTACTACGTGCGTGCGTCGAAGATAATATGAGAGTGATAGATGCGGATTCAGTATAACACGTCGCGACAAGCATCGCTTGCATATATCGAAATGCGAGATTACTTCCTAATAATAAGGTACTTACGATACGTCCTGACGATCGCACATCGCTATTTTCGACACTCCCGACACTTATTTCCGCGCGAGACTCACTTTCAGCGGACAAAAGACACGTAAAACACGGAGCGATGTCGATCGATGTGTCAATGGCGATTGCTCGGCGCGAAAAGATTGAAGATACGCGCTCTATACACAATGAACACAGCAACGTTCGCCGCGCGGCAGGCGGTGACGCACAGCCAATCAGCGTTCTCGTAAGAATCTGTTTATTGATTATTGCGATTATCTTATTATTCGAAATATCAGATAATTCAGATAGTTACTAAATGTGTTTCGCCAATCACATTCGTTTCTATTTGCGCATTTCTCGTTACTATTAAATGTAGAAAATACGTTCCCAATTTCTGGATTAATTGATAGTTATGCATGATTACAGATAAAAATGTATACTTGGACACGAATACGTCTGGGCGGAAACTTTTAATAACTATCGATCTATCTATCAATGTCAATCTTTCCGCGGAACTGAGTGTACGAGGTGTATACATGAAGTATATGTGGGGTAATCTAGTGGAAATATTTTAACGGTGAGTGTTTTATAACGACTTTCCAGACGATTGCGACATCCTGAAGGATAATCATTAAAGTAACCAGATGTTTTCTCAGGACACTCCTGGTTTTTCATACTTTGTCTCATATTTTTCTGTATGCTGTCCAGGGCGCCGATTTGTCTCAGATTCTGCAAAACTGTTTTGATTTATCCCGGTTCAAAGGATTTTTCAAATGCTTCCGACAAAGAAAGATCTTCCCAAGAAAATCAACTTTGACAAATACAGTACAGCTTTGCTTCTTCTTTATTTTAAGTAAGTACAACAATTTTACTTTAGCAATAGTTTCTATTTTTACTGTATGTAGCAGATCTTTATTGTTATTAAATTATTTTTCATATATCTATAAATAGTATTATAAATAATTTTTAGCGACTCTTTCTCTCTCTCTCTCTCTCTCTCTCTCTCTCTCTCTCTCTCTCCGCTCTACATATTTATGAAATTTCCCAGATTTGAGGCTGGAAAATCTGGTAATTATACATTTTATAAGTTATTTTTATGACTCATGTGAATTGACTTTTATATCGCCAGTTAGATAATTAAAGTGGCTGTTGATAAGTCTAGAAAGTGAGAATGTTTTTCGGATTAACTAATAGTAATAAGAAATACGGAGCTAAAAACGATTGACGCTAATCGGAAATGTTTAATAAGTATAGATCTATCGAATGTTAAGACCGCCGCGATATTATGAGAATGCGCGACGCTGATTGGCTACTGCGTCGTCATCTGTCGCGCGGCAAACGTTACTGCCTGTTTGTGTACAGAGCGCGCGTCTTCGATCTTCCTATGTCGAGCAACCGCCATTGATGCATCAATCAACAGCGCTCCGCATTTTACGCGTCTTTTGTCTGTCGAAAGTGAGTCTCGTATGGAAATAAGTATCGGGAACGTCGAAGATAGCGATGTACGATCGTTGGGTCGTATCGTAAGTACCATATTACGAAGTAATCTCCTTGCATTTTAATATATATCAAGTGCTTATCGCGACGTGTGGTATCGAACCCACGTCTATTATTCTCATTATTATTTTCGACTCACATACGTAATGAGATCAGGTGATCGTCAGATTTATTAATCGGGAATTAAAAATGCAGTGATAATCAGAGGGAAAGAGGAAAAGACATAAAAAGATATATGCAATGCCGAATCTCAAGTGGTAGTGTCGACTGTTAGCGAAAGAGAGAGAGATGTATTCCATAAAGTGCGTCTTCGTAGAACCGCGACATCGCTCACGTTTGGGTGCGCATTTATGAAGTCATGCATTGCGCGGCCACTCTCGATCTTTCTGCGTCGAGCAACCGCTATTAACACACCGATCGACATTGTTCCGTGTTTTATGTGTCTTTCCTCCTTTGAAAGTGTGTCTCGTGCGGAAATAAGTGTCGCGAGTGTGGAAAATAGCGATATGCGATCGTCGGGACGTATCGTATGTACCTTGTTGCGGTATAATCTCTTCACTTATTTCCGTATATACAAGCGGCGCTTGTCGCTATCTAGTCGACGTCTCTCATACTTGTTATCGTTATCAACTCATTCAAGTAGCAATCGAATCGGGCGATTGTCGGCTTCATTAATTGGGAATTGGAAATGCGGTGGTAAACAGAGTGATAGGTAGATATTATGACGCCACAGATATATACGACACCGAATTTCGAGAAATAGTGTCGGTGCATTAGTGAGTGAGTGAGAGAGAGAGAGAGAGAGAGAGAGAGAGAGAGAGGAGAGAGAGAGAGAGAGAGA